GGTGGAGAGCAAATGTTTTGAGAATGATGAGGGCAATGAATGTACAAATGTGCTTGACACAATTGATGTATGGATGGATTGTGATAATAGTTGTATGAGCCCCTAACAAAACGATTTAAGAAAAAGTGTCCAGAGCAGGTGTTCTCATGCACACCTAATGTAAGTCCCACTGGAGGGAAATTTGGCAATGTTCAAGAAAATGTATGTGGATCTACCCTTTGATCCGAGGATCCCTGGGGGTAGAGTAGGCTACGACATTGTGATAGTTAGGGTTCTTTTTGGTGCCAACATGGCACCTGTAGGAAGACATGGGTGGTGTTTAGTCTGTTTATCAGGTTGCAGCTTGATGACCTCATCTGGGGGTGCCACCGAGATAAATGGCTTTCTGGAGCCACTCTCACTGCCAACCCTTTCCTGCTGGTGAGCCACACTGAGACCTGCTTCAGCCCTGGAGATGCGTCCATCACCATTGGATCCACAAGACTTTGCACTCACCGGTTGGCGACGTTCCTGCATTCCGCCTCATTCCGTGTGACTGCGTGAGTCTGAAGAGGGATTTGTGGACTAGTGTTGCGCTTACGGACTTGAGTTGGACTGGGCTGGGATGTTTTCTTAATATGCAATGACTTCTTTATATAAACCTGTCTCTTGCACATACATGAGTGTTACTGGATTCCTTTCTCTAGTCAACCCAGCCTAACACAGACATGTTGTCATTTTTATCTGTAGAAAAGGGAAAATAAGGCTGTCGATTACTCTTGGGTTCTATGAGTTGCTGGGTGTGTCCTTGGTCAGCAGTTCAAAACCACCAGCTGCTCTTCAGTAGAAAGAGGAGGCTTTCTACTCCTGTGAAGATCTACAGTCTTAGAAGCCCTCAGGGACAGTTCGACTCTGCTCTATGGGGTTGCTCTGGATTGGACTCAACTCCATGGCAGAGTGTTTGGTTTGGACCCTTCGAAGCAGCCACTGTCCTTAAGGATGTGCTCTGCCCTTGCACTCACAGAGGAGTCAGAAGACACCAGTACAGATGTGGCTGTTGCAGAGAAGAGCAATTACTGAAACAACCTAATCACGAGTGATTATCAGTGAGGTCGGGTTACATAAATGTATAGCCATGCAATGGAACATTAAGTGGCAGAGAAAAAGAGTGAATTTCAAATCCTTAATGGCTGATACTGAAAAATCTTCAAGACAAGTGAAAACACTGCCAAATAGAGAGCACCAAGTCTAACACATGCCACTGGAGACAGTTACAGGTTATTGTGCCAAGCTGGCCGATAAACACATGTGGGGTTAATTGAAGGATGGGGAGATAAATGGCTCGGTGAGCCTCGCCTTTCTAGTTCTCAGGTCTCTTGCTTTGTGATGGTGGCACCAGGGTGCAGCTGCCTTAGCTAGTTCCCTGCTTTAGCTGGCAAGGTTCACTTCCTGT